CGGCCTTTTTTTTTACTCCCTAATATCGGTATCGGTATCGGCCCCAAAAAACCCATATCGGTCGGGCTCTAGTCTATACAAGGCTTGTTTGGGCGCTGCACGCTGAGTTTACAGCGGACCTTTTAAAATAAACAGTGTAACTTTTATGTTTGATTGACTACATTTTAGTTTGATGATGAATGGCTGAAATGTCGCCAAGCAACTAGAACTAATGTTTTGTGTGTGCACGAGGCGCCCGCGTGATCAGATGGGTTTATTAAAATAAAGATATAAAGAAAAGAAATAAAATGCATTGAGTGTCACGAAAACGAGTGTAGCCTATACTTGTCGCACAGTTTCTTTTTCCTTTTGTTAAGAAGAGAAATATATTTTGTGTAGTCCTATTTATTTTATTCCTTTTATAGACTTGATTTCGGTTTTTCTCCGTTCACCGAAGCACTGCAGGTGCGTGATACCACAATGTGTGAATCCTCATGGTCTGTTGTTTATGCTGCTTTTCGCACATATAAAGCTAAAGCCCTGAAAAAAATTACATTCTAATCTTACTGGTTAACGATGGACTAATGAGCTTCGGTTGTCGGTCAGGAAAATAATCTAAATGAACAAAATTCTGTCATTGTACAATTCTCCACCAGATTTACTACACGAGTTGAGACCTGACGTGAGGTTTGATTGTAGCCACCGCTCACATCCATATTGATAAATTCCAAGTTTTGCGTAGAAACGACTGTACGCCCACTTTTCTGTTGTACGTTCATTTCGTATATTTCTGACTACGGTCTCTTAGTTTAGTTGGTTTCATATGTTTTAAACCCATTTGATTGAAGTTGCTTCAGTCTGTTTACATTTCTAAATTTTCAGTTTCTCAAGCTTAACACATCCTTTCACAGCGCTCAGCCACGGGTTGACTCGACCCAGCATGTGTTGTCGTTGCTTTATTACGGTCATCATCCCTCTCCACGCTGTAATGAGGTTGTCGTGGAGTAAATTCCCGTCCGCCACGCTGCAGATAGATTCTGGCCCGGAGCGGCTGTTTCTGCTCAGCACGGAGATGATTGCACACACTGCGAAAATGACTTCACTTATGGTCTCTTTGGCCCGTGCAAAATAAAAGATTTATCCCCGGATGTACCACCAAACATGGACGGAGACCAATGGGGTCACTTGGGGTTGTGGGGTGAAACTGAAGTATAACTACAGGTATGGAATGACATGAAGATGAATAAATCGCCACTTTGGAATTATAAGGTTCTATCTACATTCTGAGCGGTTTTGAGATATTGAGCTTCAAAGTTTTTGCATTCCTTATACTTTCTAGATAGAGCCTTTTTTTTTTTTTTTTTGAGCTGACAGGAAGTGAAATACCCGTAGTGCAACGGCATTGTATGTCGGCACACTGCCCACAAGGCTATCAGCGCTGACTGAACCTTTTTGTTTTCTAAATAAAAAGTCTGAAAAAATTTACACAACTAAGAATAAGTCACAGGATAAGAATATGTGAATAACTCAATTTTGACAAAAATGTCAGATAGAACCTTAAAATTCTAAGGCCCTGTTTACACTAGTGCGTTTCCAATTTAAAACAGCATTTTAAAATGAAAACGATCCTCGTCTACACTGGTGTTTTCACTGTGTTTCAGAAACGTTCTCTGTCCACACTACACAACCAAAAACGCATGTCACATGACCATTAATGCATGTACAACCATAGATATGTATAGGTAGAGTCTATTATTTAGATGGCGGACGCTTCTACGTGCTTTGAGCGGTCGAATGGGGATTCTACCTATACATATCTATGGGTACAACAATGAGCATGATGTTATTGTTTACACGGTCATCAAGGATACGCAGAGCAAATGTGGGCAGCCACGCCATCGTTTTCAAAAGTCTCCGTTTTGGTCCGTTTACACTGAAACACAACCCCTGAGTTTTCAAACTAAAACGGGGTCTGCAGCGTTTTCAAAAGTCTCAGTTTTCGAGGGTGTAAATGACAGGCGTAACCGTAGAATAAGTTATGTGTTTTAAAACGAAAACACACTAGTGTAAATGTTGCCTAAGGAGACAAAATGTTGACAGAATTGTCATTTTTGGGTGAACTCGTTTTAATGGTACAGTAACAAAAACATAGGGTCATAAGGGCAAAAAATGTAGGAAATCTAATCTAAAGCTAATAAAGTGAAAGTGTAAAGCTAAATAACTACAGATTATGACTGTTTGAAGAAATCAAAAACATTCTACAGTATGGTTAAATATGTACTCTTAAACTGTCAAATCCACATGGCCAGTCCAGGCAGAAAAATGTTTTAGCTAGCTCAGCTCCAGCTTATTTATTATCATGCATATACACCCACACAACCCCTTTATCATCTAATGTATATTTGTGTTTTTGAGAGATTGATTGAGCTGTTTCCAGAGAGAGGTTTCCAGCTCTTAACAGGATGGCTATTGAGTTTGGATGGGCTAAATCAGATTTTCAAATGTGCTTTTTACAAGCGCCATGCGCATGCATTAATTGTTCACTGTAGAGTTGGCCTCTGCTGCCATGGCAACCGCTGTAGGCTCTATAGCCACGCACAGCAACGGCCCAGCTTTTTTTTACTCCCTAATATCGGTATCGGTATCGGCCCCAAAAAACCCATATCGGTCGGGCTCTAGTCTATACAAGGCTTGTTTGGGCGCTGCACGCTGAGTTTACAGCGGACCTTTTAAAATAAACAGTGTAACTTTTATGTTTGATTGACTACATTTTAGTTTGATGATGAATGGCTGAAATGTCGCCAAGCAACTAGAACTAATGTTTTGTGTGTGCACGAGGCGCCCGCGTGATCAGATGGGTTTATTAAAATAAAGATATAAAGAAAAGAAATAAAATGCATTGAGTGTCACGAAAACGAGTGTAGCCTATACTTGTCGCACAGTTTCTTTTTCCTTTTGTTAAGAAGAGAAATATATTTTGTGTAGTCCTATTTATTTTATTCCTTTTATAGACTTGATTTCGGTTTTTCTCCGTTCACCGAAGCACTGCAGGTGCGTGATACCACAATGTGTGAATCCTCATGGTCTGTTGTTTATGCTGCTTTTCGCACATATAAAGCTAAAGCCCTGAAAAAAATTACATTCTAATCTTACTGGTTAACGATGGACTAATGAGCTTCGGTTGTCGGTCAGGAAAATAATCTAAATGAACAAAATTCTGTCATTGTACAATTCTCCACCAGATTTACTACACGAGTTGAGACCTGACGTGAGGTTTGATTGTAGCCACCGCTCACATCCATATTGATAAATTCCAAGTTTTGCGTAGAAACGACTGTACGCCCACTTTTCTGTTGTACGTTCATTTCGTATATTTCTGACTACGGTCTCTTAGTTTAGTTGGTTTCATATGTTTTAAACCCATTTGATTGAAGTTGCTTCAGTCTGTTTACATTTCTAAATTTTCAGTTTCTCAAGCTTAACACATCCTTTCACAGCGCTCAGCCACGGGTTGACTCGACCCAGCATGTGTTGTCGTTGCTTTATTACGGTCATCATCCCTCTCCACGCTGTAATGAGGTTGTCGTGGAGTAAATTCCCGTCCGCCACGCTGCAGATAGATTCTGGCCCGGAGCGGCTGTTTCTGCTCAGCACGGAGATGATTGCACACACTGCGAAAATGACTTCACTTATGGTCTCTTTGGCCCGTGCAAAATAAAAGATTTATCCCCGGATGTACCACCAAACATGGACGGAGACCAATGGGGTCACTTGGGGTTGTGGGGTGAAACTGAAGTATAACTACAGGTATGGAATGACATGAAGATGAATAAATCGCCACTTTGGAATTATAAGGTTCTATCTACATTCTGAGCGGTTTTGAGATATTGAGCTTCAAAGTTTTTGCATTCCTTATACTTTCTAGATAGAACCTTTTTTTTTTTTTTTTTGAGCTGACAGGAAGTGAAATACCCGTAGTGCAACGGCATTGTATGTCGGCACACTGCCCACAAGGCTATCAGCGCTGACTGAACCTTTTTGTTTTCTAAATAAAAAGTCTGAAAAAATTTACACAACTAAGAATAAGTCACAGGATAAGAATATGTGAATAACTCAATTTTGACAAAAATGTCAGATAGAACCTTAAAATTCTAAGGCCCTGTTTACACTAGTGCGTTTCCAATTTAAAACAGCATTTTAAAATGAAAACGATCCTCGTCTACACTGGTGTTTTCACTGTGTTTCAGAAACGTTCTCTGTCCACACTACACAACCAAAAACGCATGTCACATGACCATTAATGCATGTACAACCATAGATATGTATAGGTAGAGTCTATTATTTAGATGGCGGACGCTTCTACGTGCTTTGAGCGGTCGAATGGGGATTCTACCTATACATATCTATGGGTACAACAATGAGCATGATGTTATTGTTTACACGGTCATCAAGGATACGCAGAGCAAATGTGGGCAGCCACGCCATCGTTTTCAAAAGTCTCCGTTTTGGTCCGTTTACACTGAAACACAACCCCTGAGTTTTCAAACTAAAACGGGGTCTGCAGCGTTTTCAAAAGTCTCAGTTTTCGAGGGTGTAAATGACAGGCGTAACCGTAGAATAAGTTATGTGTTTTAAAACGAAAACACACTAGTGTAAATGTTGCCTAAGGAGACAAAATGTTGACAGAATTGTCATTTTTGGGTGAACTCGTTTTAATGGTACAGTAACAAAAACATAGGGTCATAAGGGCAAAAAATGTAGGAAATCTAATCTAAAGCTAATAAAGTGAAAGTGTAAAGCTAAATAACTACAGATTATGACTGTTTGAAGAAATCAAAAACATTCTACAGTATGGTTAAATATGTACTCTTAAACTGTCAAATCCACATGGCCAGTCCAGGCAGAAAAATGTTTTAGCTAGCTCAGCTCCAGCTTATTTATTATCATGCATATACACCCACACAACCCCTTTATCATCTAATGTATATTTGTGTTTTTGAGAGATTGATTGAGCTGTTTCCAGAGAGAGGTTTCCAGCTCTTAACAGGATGGCTATTGAGTTTGGATGGGCTAAATCAGATTTTCAAATGTGCTTTTTACAAGCGCCATGCGCATGCATTAATTGTTCACTGTAGAGTTGGCCTCTGCTGCCATGGCAACCGCTGTAGGCTCTATAGCCACGCACAGCAACGGCCCAGCTGCTCCTGCGGCGATGACACTGTCCTGTCTGTCCGCCCCATGTCACCATGGCGAGTCCATGTGTGCATCTCACTCATTACTGATAGTGTCGCTGTTAGCCAGAAGCGAGAACTGTCATCTTGGATATGCTCATAAATCTCAACAGTTTGCATCCTACTGTTTTAAAGTCCACCATACATGGGCAACAAAGACAAAAAGATGCATGAGTGGATATGACTCACTTTGTTTTCTCTTCCTGCAGGCTAGCCAGCTTGGAGTGTACAGAGCCTTCGTTGATAATTACGAACTCGCCGTGGAGACCGCAGAGAAGTGCTGTCAAGCAAACACACAGTTTGCAGAGATCTCTGAGGTAATGCCTACTGGAGTGCTCAAGGTCTTGTTATTCTAATACGGGAACAGATACCTCTACCCAAAATCCCCAGCTTAGAAGGAATAGAATTAGTACCCTAAGAAATCTGTTTTATTTTTTCCCAAATTCTGTTACATTTTTTTCCAAATTCCATTTTTCCCGTTTAAATTTTTCTAGACTCTGTTTTAATGGTTATATTAAATTTTATTAATCAAAAAGCATGTCTAATTAATTGAAATCATGAAACTTGCACAATTTAACAGCAATTTAATAAAAGTTTAACAAAAATTACATTTTTAAGGCTCTAAGAAATTTTTTTTGTTGTTGTTTTTTCCCTCAAATTTAGTTTTATTTTGATCAATTTCTGTTTTTCATTAATTTTCCGGATTCCATTTTAATAGTTTCGTTACATTTTAATAATCAAAAGCATCTCTAAATAATTTATTTTATAAAAAACTAATTTATTTATTTATTTATTCAGAAATTCTGTCTTGTGTATTTACATTTTTCTGGTAAATTAATTCTGGTAAATAATTTTACTGGTAAATATTCCTTAAAATAATGTTTTAATAATGTTAGTGCCTACCGTATGTAGATCAAATGTGACAAGCTAATTTATTCATTTAGTCTCTCCCGAAAGGGATTCTTTCAATATACAGAGAATAGAGGAGATAGAAGTTGAATATACACCACAACAGAATAAGTACACAGTCAAGTATTTAACAGCAAGTTTTGCTTATTTTTACATGTAATGTTTGGATTATCATGTGCTATTTACAAGTCTGATAAGCTCTACAATCTACATAGCAATCCATCTATCATAACCAGCTATCATTTGTCAGGAGAATATCTGCTGTAATATGGCGAAAATCGTTGTTCTGTAATAGTAATCTGATGTTCTTTATGAGATCACAGTTACCAGCCCTGCATGATGGTGTGCACTTCACAGGTTTATTGATCCTGAGTTTGTCTCTGATATCTCTGCAGAGTCTCAAGGTCAGGAGCACCAAGGAGTGCAAGGACCTGACAGCCAAATACTCACTGGAAGGTAAGAAACAACAGGATGGCATTTATTGTTTTCATATTATATGGTCATTATTTTATCTGTAGTATTTTCATTGAGCTTATTTGTTGCACATTTTGCTCTCAGCATGTCATGTCGTTCCTTCTTTTAAATTCAGTTGCATAAAACCCATTGAGTGGGTGGATTAGATAAGGTTTCAAACATCGGCATTTGAGCCTGTGGTATGAAAGTGGCTCTTGGGAATAATCGCCCACTGTGTGTGTTCTCTTCTGTCTTGTCTTTGCCAGCTCTGCTCTATAAACCAGTGGACAGAGTGACCCGGAGCACGCTTGTTTTACATGTGAGTCAAATTTATCATATTTTCTTTATGCGTTAGATAAACGTTTATGTTTATCACTTTTACTATTGCTCATATTTAGGACACGTTCCAATCGCAAGATAGTGCCTTGGGAAGTTTACTTTCCTCTGCCATCTTAAGTGAGATTCCAAGTTGCAAGGAGTATATTTAGTCCAAAGGGCACTGTAAACAACATAGGGAACAAATGTACATCGACATATAACTTCATAGGAAGTGGCTCTTTTATTAAGAAGGTGGGATTAAGGTGCCCTGGACGTGCTATATTGGGTGTTGCTGTTTCTCCCATTCATAGCAATGCTTGGTAGCATTGCTATATATGTACAAACCGTCTTGGTACATGCTGTGTGACAGCCGTTTTCTGTGTGCGTGCTTCGGATGTGTGCGCTCAGAAAACCGTATATCAGAATTTTAAACTAATATGATATAAAACGCATGATTTTAGTGCGATAGACATGATCATCAAAACCAAACAGATGTTTTTTAGCAGAGTATCTGATGAACCAACTGTTCCCTGTTCTGGAAAAGGGGGCGGGGAGCAGCAGCTCATTTGCATTTAAAGAGAGATACACGAAAACAGCCTGTTTCTGCTTCCACTCAAACTAGGCATTTTCAAAATGATATAATAAATGATCTGTATTTTGAGCTGAAACTTCACAGACACATTCTGGGGACACCTAATACTTATGTCTTGTAAAAAGGGGAAATAATAGGTCTCCTTTAAATCTGTTTTTTTTTTGGTTGAATGTCTGTGTTTGTTTTCTACAGGATCTTCTGAAACACACACCTTCCAGTCACCCAGATTACCCCCTCCTGCAGGATGCCCTCCGCATCTCACAGAACTTCCTGTCCAGCATTAACGAAGAGAGCACGCCTCGCCGCCAGTCCATGACAGTGAAGAAGGGAGAGGTGAGTGCAGAAACCCCTCCTTCCTTCCATCTTACCCCTCTCCCTCTCTCATAAGTCCTCCATCTTGTTTACGATAGAGAGTGTTTGTCAAAAACATATTTTTATAGGGCACAGAAATGTCAAAATTCAGGCCGCACATAGTGCAGGTGCCCTGAAGCCATCCAGTCAATGAGCTCCCATCAGGATATACAGCCAGTCATTAACATCCATCTCAGAGCCGGCCCACCCTCTGCTCTCTGCACAGCCTATCCTTGGGCGACTCTGCCAACTCTCTATTTCACACTAGCATATACTCTCCATCTCCACAGAGGGTTTATGCTATAAATAAAACATCCTCTATTTGTTACAGAACTCTTTGCTGCATTTGAGTTGTTTGTGCTCAGATTTAGTGGGATTTATTTTTAATCATCTCTTCGGTATCTGCTTACTAATGCTCTTGAGTAATGATGATGTCATTAGTTAAAGGCGGTAAGAAAGCGCATACCCTCGCTGACCCCAGCAGAGAAGATCACCCTTAAAGAGAATTATCTTGGAAAGATACATTTGGTTTTCGACACAGAGACTTTCTGTGCCGCCCCCTTCATTCCAGCAATGTTAGCCTCAGGAGAGTGGCAGATGAATTGTTGCTGTGTGTGATTGATGGCGAGCAGCGCTTGCGTGTAATTTGCCTTAATGAGCCACCTCGCTCTGACTCGCAACTCATTGATTATTCATAAAAGGCCATCTTGTGTGGAGTAGACTCCGCCTACTTCGAGTAAACAGTGAGGAGGAGTTTGCTACCGCTCTCTACACCCCTCCCGCCTTCCTCCCTCGGGTGCATGCGGACAGACCAACTGATCAAATATTGATAGTGTGTGCATGAAAGGAACTCATGGAAATCAATGTGTTGTTGTGGAGCTTATTGTCTTTCAGTCCAGTCTAAGAAAACACAAGCCTTAGTTTACTTTCCTTTTGTTTTTATAGTTTCTTGATGATTTAGTAACCATGATTTCTTTATTAGCTCAGGCCTGCATCACTATTAATTACTATTGCTCATACTTCAGGGATTTAAAGAGACCATGATTATTAAACTTTGGCATGTAGCTCTGGCATCTGGCACTGTTTAGCTTGTAGCATTTAAAGCGTATCTGTTTTGTTTGCTTGTAGGTTTTTTGGTATAGCATTTTTTATTTATTTACACAAAATAGTATCGTTTTCAGCCATTTAATAGTTTCCTGCTGTAACATAAAAATAATTACTGGCTTATTGGTATCGGCTGTAATTTTTATATCAGTGTACTTCGCTTTATTGTTTCATTCATTTGTTTAATTTAGTTATTCTAGAGATGCATCTAGCTTGAGTGGAGAGGTACAGTATGGTGCCCTAAGCTTACTTCTTTGGTTGATGCCAATGAACAATAATCTCATTATTTAAGAGTAACTTCAGAACTGATCAGTGGGCAGCTAGAAGCATTAGCATGATTGTTCAGGTCATGGTTGCATTGATTAGCTATGGGCTTCTAGTGTTACCCGTGCTGGAAACTGGAGGTATGCGGGTGAGAGAGAGAAGAGATTCAGGGTGGCCCCAGAGGCCTGCACTAGCTGGGTCGAAGCCACTTAATTAAAATGCAAATGAACCTGCCGATTTCAGAAAGCAGCTTTCAGCATCTGTGATACACGCTCACAGAGCGATGCATGATGGGCTTTGTATGTAGCTGCACACATGTGACATTGCAGACTGTGTACGCACACACACTCATTCACAATGTAAATATGTATATGAAGTGTCAGCACTATGCACAAAAGACACATAAACGCACAGAAGCAATCCAAACATGCTAATGCCTGAATATACACATCAAATGTAAATGCATACACAACCTGATGACCTTGGGTTCGTCAAAGCCACCTGCTCTGTTCAAAAGACCATCACAAATGTATGCACATCAACAGGGCCGTGCACAGACCTTTTGAGTGGCATGTGCTGAGTTCACTGCACTCAGTCAGTCAAGACAGGGGGTGGAGTTATGAGGTTTGACTGACAGTTTGAGCGGATCCAACAAGATTTAGTCACAAACTCTTTTTAATACCTTTCATTCGCTAAATATATTTGTAAAACAGACAGACAGATGTAAAGGGTGACCAATAGCATTGCTTTATTGAAGAACAAAAAAAAAGGGCACTTCGGAGTGTAAGGACAAAAAGGGCATGTGCTCTGCACAGGTTGAGCCCTACCTGTGCACGTGCCTGCACATCAACATATACCACACACAGACTCATGTGATGAGCATTTTGCTGTACCTTTAGGACACAGAGGTAATTTAAGCACATAAAAATGTACTTTATTCTTTATGAACAATGTAATGCTGTCAGGGATATGCCCGTAATACTAATAAAAGTAATAATTTTAAGTAGCTTGTTATGTTAAGAAGGCTAAAAATGTGCAACCCAGAGGGGTGTCTGTCTTTACCACACAAACACAAACTGTATGACCCGCTCCGTTTTTTTATTCTGAATGGCTGTGTTTAATTTTCAGTGGTTTCAGTCTGTTTGTAGTGGGTGATTATGAGAAATTGCTATTGTCATGTTTGTACTGGAGGCAAACTGTTGGAAAATGTCATCTGATGTGCTGAGACAGCTCATTTGAGCGTCTCGTTTTTTACAGAGGAAAAAAGCACATCATGTTCACTGTAGACTGGTAAGATACTGGTAAAGATTTGCAAACAGTGTACAGTACAAGTGTTTGCAGAAGAAATTTAAGATACCAAGCTTGTTTGTTTTTGGACATGTGTGTGTGTGTGTGTGTGTGTGTGTGTGTGCGCCTGTGTCTTGCAGGGTGAAGAAGAAAGAGAGAGGAAGAGAGGCTTTGCATTTCGTTACAGTGAGATTGTTCTGGAAATGCCAGTCATGTAAATGCTGATATATAGTGCTCTTTGAAAGAAACACAGTTTAGTGTCTGCTGCTGGGTGCATGTTTTTATTGTATTGTTGATTGTTGGATAGAAAGTATAAGGGAAGGAACAGCTTATAACGTAAAGCTAACAGCTCAGTGGCCTTTTAAAGGTACAGTGATCTTTGTGCACTCTGTTTTAGCCTTTAGAGTTTAAGATAATATTTTTGCACTACCTCTGTGCAAATAAAATAAAATAATACACACAAACATCAAAATAATAATAATAATGAAATAACAAATACCAATAATTATTTTTACCGTGATTATATATTTGTTATAAATTACATATTTTTCACTATAGTAATAATTATATATTTTTCACAATCTATAATATAATATATTTTTCACAATAATAATTAGAATATTTTTTTACTATTAGATTACTACCTAACGCTCACTTAAAGGGGTCATATGATGCGATTTCAAGTTTTCCTTTCTCT